ACTATCTGTCCATGTTCGCCCACGCTCCGTACACTCCATTCATTCGCACGTGCTGTCCCGTCTGGTGCCTTCCCTCTGCCGTCTACACCGCACGTCCGCTCCCCTCTCAGGGTCAGCTCGAGGGCAAGAAACTCGAACAAGCTCTTCACAAAGGAGGGCATTCGGATGACCGGGAAGCAGAGGGAGAGAGAGCCTACCTCCTTAGGAATCAGGGAAACGCAACTGAAAACCACAATAGGATTTCAGACTGAAACCTCCAAGCGTGGGGGAGGAGACACGGCTGGGAGTCCAACGGTCACAGCCCCTTGGGAAGCGATGTGCACTGTGTTGAATATGAGCATCACCTGCGGCCCAGCAGCTTCCCGTGCGGATCTGGGCCAGGCAGAAACCGATGCCCACGTGCATGAAAAGCAGGTACAGACATTATGAGCAGCATCGGCAGTAACCCAACCCTAGAAGTAGCCCACATAACCGTCAATAATAACACGGAATTAACAGTGAAAACGAAAGAATTCCTGCCCTAGGCAGCAAGCAGCATGGACGAACCTCACGGGAAACACGCCGCCGAGCGAGAAAAATGTGCTGGGCAATGTCATTTATTTGACCTTCAAAACCAGGCAAAGCTAAGGCTATAAAGAAGCAGCACATCGGGTCCGAGGCCGCGCTGACCCACCGCCGTGCTGGGAGGGGGTCCTGGGTGTGCTTCCTCTGTGAGGGCATTGAAGGGAGCGACCCTGAGATTTACCGGGAAGTCTCTCGGGAAGGCCTGGAGGAAAGAGCTCGGCCAGTCCTGATGGTGGTCAGCCTCGCCGAGGCCCGCCTGGCATCAGGAGCTTGGAGTGACCATTGGGGTTATGGGTTTCGTTTGGTTTTCCTACCTTTGCACTGAACTGGACATGTTGTCCTGGCGGCTGGGAGCTGGTCTTACTATGTTGTTGTAAATCAGGGTGTTGCCTGTTCAAGTAACTATGGAGCGTATGAAGGGAAGCACATTACCACCTGCTCTATATATTTTTTTAAAAATCTTTACGAGGGCCCGGCTGGCGTGGCTCAGTGGTTGAGTGTCAACTTATGAATCAGGAGGTAACGGGTTCAATTCCTGGTCAGGGTCAGGGCACAGGCCCGGTTATGGGCTTGATCCCCAGTGTGGGGCGTGCAGGAGGCAGCGGATCAGTGATTCTCTCTCACCGCTGATATTTCTCTCCCTCCCTCCCTCCCTCCCTCCCTCCCTCCCCCTTCCTCTCTGAAATCAATAAAAATATACACATATATTTTAAAGTGAAAGGGGTTCTGAATAAGAATGCACTGAAACAATAAACTCCATTGCCTTTGTGTCCCCTATAGTCCCTGCTTAGAAGGTGAGGATGAGGTCGCAGCGGCGCCCATCCCTATGCGTTTCTTGGGGTTCAAAGCTGCGGAAAGGGACCAGAAACGTCTCCTTCGGCCTGAGGGACGCAGGTCGCGGACCGTCCACGCAGCCCAGCTCGCTGTCCTTCTGCAGTGAGATGCCTCTCCCCGTGGGCAACTTCAGGACCAGCTTCAAAACGAGCTTTAAAACTGGACGTTCTTACTCACCCCCGGCTGCTGGTTTACGAGTCTTCCTCGCGGGGGCATCACTAACGGGGGGTGGGGGGGTGGGGAATGGGTGGGGGGGGGGGGTGGGGGCCTCCCGCGCTCTCCGTGGTGACAGCGCTCGGGATGCGTTCTCGCCCCTGGACAAACTATGTTCTCCCACCCACCGGTTCGGGCTCACCAGGCTGGACGTCGCAAAAACCGCTTTTTCTGTGAGAGAACTGCAAGTCGGGGGGCAGAATTCCCTAAAACCCCGGGCTCTCCTGTCTCCGTGATACTCTCCGGGGTTCAAGAACTGGGGTCGGGGCCTGACGTCAGCATTCTCTCAACTCCAGGGTCAAGGCGCTTGACAGCCGCGCCCACCACCTGCCGACCCA